CGTGTGCTTGCTTTGTGTGCGGATGAATTAGTAGGTTCGGCCACTGTGGAAGTTGTAGGGTTGGATTTCCGAGTTCTTGAATGAGGATGGGAAACCATACCCTCGCTGGCCAGTAGGGCGCGACCAAACTCAGTTGCAGGTTCTTCGTCTGCTTGATTTTCTGAAATACCTGCGCTATTAGAGTTGGAGGTGGAAACGCATATGCGTTTATTCCTTCCCATGGGATGCTTAGAGCGTCTGTTGCCCATGCTTGTGGATCCGGAATCGGAGAGACGAATGTTGGTCTTTTTTGTTGAACCTTGTAGCAAACAGGTCTATTAGTGGAGATCCTATCTTTTGTATGATGCATCTGAATGCTTCTGGGTGTAACATCCATTCCGTCGGGGATGGTTGTGTTGGCCGAGATAGGGCGTCTGCTATCACATTCTTGGCTCCGGGAATGTGACATGCTTTCCCGTCGATGTTCAAGTTGTCTTTTATTCTGAACAGATGAAAGCTGAGATCTAGTAGATTCCTTGATCTTGTTGATCCTTGTTTGTTGATGTAGAACGTCACTGTGGAGTTGTCCGTGTGGATCATCAGTTGTGCGTTCCTTAGTATGCTGGACCAGTGTAGTAAGGCGTTTACGACTGCTTTCATCTCAAGCATGTTGATGTGTAGACTTTGCTCCTGGCTCGACCATTTTCCTGCTGCCACTTCGTTGTCGAGGTGGGCTCCCCATCCTTGGAGTGATGCATCTACATAGAAATGAGTGTTGTACTCCGGCTCTGATAAGTAGGTTCCTCCGCAAACATTCGACCTTCGTGTCCACCATAGGAGATATGGTTTCAATCCGTCCGGTAGTCCGAAGGATTCCGAACTGTCTAGATGAGCGTTCACAAACACTTGTAGTGGGCGTAGTTGTAGTCTTCCTCTGCGTGTCATGTCTTGTGCTGACGTGAGGAGACCGAGTAGGCCTCTGCCAATTTGAGTCAGTGTTGTAACTTGACCCAACGCTCCTCTGTGTGGGTTGTAGTTCCGATTTGAGGAGATTTACTAGCCATCCTAGTTGTGTAAGTAGCCTGATCGTGAAGTCTAGTTGCAGTCTGAGTTGACTGGGATCTTGATGAGCTTGAATCCCGTCGTCCAGGTAAAACGCACTGCGTAGACCTCGATGATGTAGATAGGCGATGATTGGCTTTGTCACTCGAGTAAACAACCAGGGGGCCGACGATATTCCAAATGGTAGCACCTTCCATTGGAAGTGACGTCCGTTGAAAAGGAATCGTAGATATTTCGTTGAGTCCAGATGTATCGGGATGTGAAGATACGCATCCTGTAGATCTATGCTGGCGAGGTAGTCTAATGGACGTATGAGTTGTCGCAGTTGAGGCAAATGTATCATTCTGAACTTTGCAGGGCTGCGTAGATAATCTTGGTTGAATTTCCTCATTTTGAATATAAGTCGAAACCTTTCCTTGGAATTTTTCTTTGGTACTAAGAAGATTGGGGAGTAAAACCCGGGTGTGATGAATTCCTGTTTTATTTCTTCGATCGCCTCCTTCTCGAGTAGAGTTGTGATGGCGTCGAGTAAGTTCTCCCTCTGGTCGGCAGCATAGTTATGGCCCAGAGAGTTGCTTGTCAATGGTGGTACTGCTTTTAGTTGTATCAGGTATCCTCTGCGTAGGATCTGGGATACGTAGTCATCCTGAAGAATTCCCCAATTCTTCCAGTAGCGTTGTAGACGTCCACCCACTGTCGAAGGTTGTATGGGAACGGCTGGGGGTGTAAGACTCCAGTCGTTCCGAACCCGTCCTTCAGCCTCTAAAGTTTTTGGTACCTCTGGATGCCCTGCCTCTTCCGGGGTTACCTCTGGATGCTCCGTTTGGGCGACGAAAAGGATCCTTGCCTCCTCTGGAGTTGCCGTATTTCTTTTCTCTGGCTCTTTGTATTCCTGTGAACTTCGACTTTCCGGAATAGCGTTGTGAGGTCTGATGGATAACAGTAGCTAGTGTGTCGATGGACTTGATCATCATTACCTCCCTTGATTCTTTGGTTATTTCCTTGGCCACGTCCTCAATTTCCCCTGCGATAGATGATGCTGACCACAGAGCTCTGTATAGTGACTTGGTGAAGCGTTCACTCCATGTACAAGAAGAAAGTAGTCCTTGTCTTCTTAATAGTGTCAATCCTGCTGATGTAGAGGCCAGATGTTCAGACATGAACTGATGATCTTTCTTCTGTGTTAGTAATGCTGAGTAGATCATTCTATCTTCTTCCGAGGTCGAGTTTCTAAACTTGGCGATGAGAGGTTCATTGATAGCTCTTGACCTGGCTAGTCCAAAGAAGGTACGTCTGGTACTTGTGTCTAGTTGTGCCAACTTCTTGTCTTCAACTTTGTAAGTCCTGGCTCGGGAGTCGTTGATGATCTTGTAGGTCTCGTCTATTTCTGGGGCCTTCGTAAAGAGTTCCATATGGTGAAGAGAGAACTTCTTGGACTCTGGACTCTGGAATTTCGTTGCCTTCTTGAAAGCTGTGCTGAGATTCCCTGGTACATCTGCGACCGGATCCTCGTTATACATCTTGTATGTAAACGCTTCATTATCCTCTTTAGAGGGTGATGCAAGTTCTAGTCCATTTGCCATCCAGGATTTAATTTCTGTGTCGGAAAATATAATTCCTCCGTCATCTTCGGATTTAGAGGTTTCTCGTTTAGGAGATGGTTGCCACTGTGATTCTTTCCTGCGTGGCGATCTGCGTGGAGACCTACGTGGAGACCTGCGTGGAGACCTTCTTGAATGCTCCTGTTGGTTGTCCGTGTCAGAGGAGGATGATCTGCGATGATCCAGTGAACGTCTGGTTCTGTTCCTTCGCTTCGGTGAAGGTGTCCTAGTACATTGTAGAGTGTGCGATCCTTCGTGCATGCTTCCTCCTTCGTGAGTGCTTCCACGCCTGCTTCCATGAGTGCTTCCTCGTAAGTTTTCGTGAGTGTCTTCACGGATGCTTCCTCCTTCATGAGTGTCTTCACGCATGCTTCCGTGATTGCACTCGCGCATGCTCCCGTGAGTGCTCTCGTGCAGACTGCTGTGATCTGCTGACTACTTTCGATGTAGATGGGGCCTCCGTTGCTGCTTTCTCTTGTGCGAATCTTCGCTCCATCAGGTCCATCATCTGCTGCGTAAACTGCTGCATGAAGACCCCAGGGTTGAAATTCTGCGACGACGACTGCTGCTGCTGTAGCTGCACTGCGGATGACGCATCTGAGAGTGTCGAGGCTTCTCCCCCGGACTGCGGCACTTGTGACGAACTGCCATCTCTATCTGATGTCTGCGTTGTGATGACTGCTGCTGTTGCCGTAGATGAAGACTTCGTCTTCTTCCTCACTGGCACTTCAGGGATGAGGATGGGAGGCTCATCATAGACATCTACTTCATCTGCTGGGATGATCTCAGTAGCAAACGACCTCGTCTGAAGTGCTGCCCCATGAGAAGACTTCACCGGAGTCTTAGTAGACGACTTCTTCTTCTGGGAAGACGATGCCCTCGTCTTCTTCGACTGCGATGATGTTATCGTTGAAGTAGATGACCTCTTCTTAGAGCCGGAGCTGCCATCAGACACAGCGACCTGCTCCGTAGACGCAGCCGGTAAACTACTAGAATGGTGAATGTCAGTAGGCAACAACAAACTGTTATTAACGCAATCATTTGGTTTAGACATGACTTGAGAAAGTCGTCTACTCCTGTCCTTGGCACGCCTAAAAATGGAATATAAATAATTATTAAATGAAAATTCAGTTAAGTGCTGACAAAACTGACAGCGAAAGCTGGAAGAACATGGAGAAATACAATTAGGATCAGCAAATGACAATAGGAGTCTACAACGACTGCAAGATTTCATCAAAAATCACCATGATGAAAACACATGTCAACTACGTGAACAAATACAGATAATTTTGATCAAATTTCAAACCATATTGTTGGTATATCAATCCTAAAACCTTATACAGCTAATTTAGTAGCAAGGCCTAAAAGTTTAAAGGATATAACGCCGTATAGGGGACCCAGGCGCTCTCACAACCGTCCTCAAGGGCGAAGAAGGAGAGAGAGGGGCATGTCAAACAAGTGACGTGGTTTCCCGCCTAAAAGAGTCACAAGGGAGATAACATTGGGTGAGTGATTTTGCGTCCGCTTTTTTGAAGGGAGCTTCAAAAGGGGATTCAAGTGTTCCAATATCATTCGCAAGAAGAAAGAGAAATGCAAATAAGCATGAGTCAGGATAAGAAAAAATATATAATTATGGTGGATTGTAGAGGCCACCTGCGTTGCCATTCAGTGCATGAGTGCTATTAGCTGCTGTTGTATACTTTCATAAGAAACATCATTACCCCTAGACAACAAGCCCTGAAAGTATTCTGGTATATTTGTAGTAAATACTACATTCACGATTACTAATGTTAAACCATGTTTATTGTATAAATTGGTGATGCATGAATGAGACAGTAATCCTTGTTACCACGAAACCCGCCATGGTTGCAGTAGTAAACTTGAGTGACGCTCAACTCGTTTTGTTGTTTCTCTCTTCCTGCAGGACTGGACCGCCTCCGTGGTGTAGTGGTTAGAGCGTCCGCCCGGAGAGCGGAAGGTCGTGGGTTCGATCCCCGACCGCGTCATACCAAAAGACGTTAAAATATGGTACTTGTTGGTCCCTGCCTGGCGCTCGGCATTAATGGGTACAACAAGGACTGGTCGGCTCGGAGTCAGTATAATGTGTCTGAGTGGGGTATTCATGCTTCATTGCGGCATGGTATCTCAGTGGGCTAGCACTATAAAACCAGCTTAAGTCTGGGCTAGTACAAGCAGCCGCACATACACATACACACGCATGCACGTCGTCATATGAGCGAAATATTCTCAAGCACGACGTAAAACCCAATTTCACCTCACCTCACCAGCAGGCAACCCGATAGGGGCAACAAAAATATAAACACACCAATAACGTACCATGGAGAAATTGATATTTACCTGGCCTATCATTGTTTCCCAGCAGAGGTCAGAGGTTTCCTCTATGACTGTACAATTCTGGCGTCCTACTGGTGACTCGGAGACTGTAGGCACCGTTGTGCTGATGTCGGAACACAGGACGGTGTCGTTACCGAGGCTGGCCAGACGTGCCGCCCTCTCAGACTGGATCTGTTTTTTCTGTGTGCCATTCAACAGGTTCATGTATGAAGACGATTTTACATTCCATTTATAACTTTGGCACAGTAAAGACAAAAGGTCGTGCCTCGCAGGCTAATAATCTTATCCAAGTAAAGGTCGTTGCTGGTGAGGTTAATTAGAAAGTAAACTGACCCGAGCCAAAGCCAGATGACGATCGTGGTTCGTTAGTAGTGAGTGAGTTTAGTTTTACGCCGCACTCAGCAATATTCCAGCTATATGGCGGCGGTCTGTGAATAGGCAATCCAGTGATCAACAGTATGAACATCGATATGAGCAATTTGAATACAATGACGTGTCAACCAAGTTAGCGAACCTGACCACCTGATCCCATTAGTCGCCTTCTACGACAAGCATGGGTTACTGAAGATCAAGTCTAACCCTGATGTTCACGGGTTGGTTGATTAGTAACTGAGCCTATCTCACCCAGAACTTGAGTAAGGTCTACCTACCGGGGCCGTTAGGCCAGCCCAGTGTTTAGAATGTTCGCTTATCTCGACTCAAACACGGGTTCTACTCCCAACGTAGGTACAATGTGTAAAGACCATTTCTGTTTTTCCACGTCCATGTATTGCTGTAATGTTGCAAAAAAGCGGCGTAAAACCTCACTCACTCACTCTCTCCACCTACCAAGTCATCTTGTTTGTTGTAGAGGGCGATAAAGAGGGTGTAGAGATTGAGGAGGTTGAGGGCGAAGATCCTGGCGAGCTGGAGACGGAGGTTGATCCTGGGGTGGTACTTCTCCATCATTGATATCAGGTCAGAGATGTTGGGGAACAGGGTGGATATCAGGGTCATTATCACCGTCAGCTGGAATATACATTGAAGTGTCATGAGAACTGATGGACGCTTGGAATATGTTTCGAAATATATATCTACCCTCTTTGAAAACATTTGTAAAGGTTCGTTTGTTATATTTTCTTCGTCAGTCTCAATATTCCACCTCTGGTGACGAAACCCTCGGCCACGCCAACCAGTGGTTGACAGCGTGACCTTTGACCAACGGCAGTATCCCAAATATTTTGCGATTACTAGCAGTTAATTTAGTATCAAAACCCTAGTTGTTTTGATGTCATGATATTAAATGGGGTTAAAGTACACCTTAACGACCATGTTGCATGGGATTCACAGACGCTTTCGTACATATAGTCTACAACATTATACTTCGATTGACGGAAACGAATGTACCCCGATACATGGTTATCCCCCAACTACTGACAGCCTAAACCCATTCCTAGGTCAGTACTGACAGCAGGGGCAACCTAAACACTCAGCGGGTAATTGTAAGAGTACCTCATTCTCCGCCCAGAATCCGGCCACGAAGTTCTTGTCCTGTCGCTTCTGGAGCTCCATCTTCCGCGACCTGTCCACGAACAGCTGGATGATGTAGGCACTGAGAGCTAAGGACATCAACACCAGGACATTGGCCAGCACCCTCAGGAACAGCAGCAGGTGCCTGCAAGAGAGAGGGCCAGTAACCATTATTCAGGAGTGAGTGGGGGCGGTGGGGTAGCCTAGTGGTTAAAGCGTTGGCTCGTCACGCCGAAGACCCGGGTTCGAATCCCTACATGGGTGCAATGTGTGAAGCCCATTTCTGGTGTCCCCGCCGTGATGTTGATGGAATATTGCTAAAAGCGGCGTAAAACCAAACTCAGTCAGTCAGTCAGTCATCAGTGAGTGAGTGAATATGGGTTGATGACGCTTTTAGCACTATTCCAGCATCTATCTATCTATCTATCTATTTATCTATAGGGCAAATACCTAACCTAACAACCCTGTTAAAAAAAGGCTTGTATACATAATTACTCCAAAATGCCGCGGGTTTTACAATTTTAATTTCTTATTATATTTTCCTCCTATTTTAGCTCCCTGGAGAGTATACAAATCAAGCTGGCTTGTTAGGCACAAGAGGGCTAACAGTCACTTTACCATCCCTTACCTTTAGACAAAATTTCTTTAAACACCAAACCATTACCCGTACGCCTACGAATTGCTATGCATCACATAGGAACGACTACTGTTTCCGGGGATCAATGGCATATTTAACACAATATTTGTTTTGCTCATTATATGATGCGATAACTATAGCTTTAGCGGCCACCGATATGAACAAAGGTGTTTATCTCGCGATGGTGTAAGCCTTCATTCCCATCTATAAACGTAAAATTGCCAAAGATACCCAGAGAGATCATTTGTTCACGTGTTTCTCAACGGTCAGAACGAAGACATTTTTAAGTGTAAATAAGACCAATTGTGCGAGGGTGCAAAGCATTTTAAAACAAATAGATGCTCATAAATGTTATTTCCTGCAGACTGTAACAAATATTTATGTATGTATGTATGTATGTATGTATGTATGTATTTATGTATTTATTTATTTATACGTGTTTTACCAACACATCTTCGTATTTCATTTAAGAAATATCTACCACCTAAATTCTACACATTCATGTTAGACAAATCATTTCGACCGTGTAGGGCTTCAATTTTTGTAATTTACTGCATGTATGGTAGTGAGTGAGTGAGTTGGGTTTTATGCCGCTTTGGGCAATATTCCAGCAATATCACGGCGGGGGACACCAGAAATGGGCTTCACACATTGTACCCATGTGGGGAATCGAACCCGGGTCTTCGGCGTGACGAGCGAAGGCTTAACTACTAGGCTATCCCACCGCCCCGCATGTATGGTAAATTGAGGTTTAATTGTTTAGAAAATGTACTTTTCAGGTGTAAAAAACAATTGTGTGCACCTACTTGTTTCCTTCTTTTGTCTTCTCCTCTTCCTCCAATATAGCTTCCTGTAACGAAGATGCTACAACATTATGTGTTGTTCAGCCGGTTGTTAGCCACGTGGTGTCAAAGCTGGTTAATATAAACAATCCCTCCCCACACCAAAAGTGGTTGGTTTTTGTTTGCTCTTTAATGCCGCACTCTGCAATTGTTCAGCCATCTGATTCCGGTCTGTAAATGATCGAGTCTGGAGCAGACAATCCAGTGACTGACATCATGAGCATTGATCTTTGTAATTAGAATATAATGACTGTGTCAATTAAGTCAGCGAGGCTGAAACACCCGATCCCATTTTTCACCCTTTACCACAAGCTCGTGTTAGTTAAGACCAAGCCTAATCCGGATCTTCTTAGGTCACGAGTAGGTCATACAGAACGACCATTCGGAAATAGTTTTCTTCAAAACGTCTCCACAATTTGAGCCAAGAAGAGATTTATTCCATACTCCCAAAACAATAATTGAATCGTTGTGACGTCTTTCGTAGCTCATGACGATCCTTTCAAAACTAGAATTTGTTTCATATGTTCTCTGATTTTCTCGGAAATATACAGAGTGAGTGAATTTATTTCCGTGAGTGTGGTTTTACGCCGCTTTTAGCACTATTCCAGCAATATCACGGCGGGGGACACCAGAAATGGAGTGAATTTAGATTTACGCCGCTTTTAGCACTATTCCAGAAATATCACGGCGGGGGACACCAGAAATGGAGTGAATTTAGATTTACGCCGCTTTTAGCACTATTACAGCAATATCACGGCGGGAGACACCAGAAATGGAGTGAATTTAGATTTACGCCGCTTTTAGCACTATTCCAGCAATACCACGGAGGCGGCTTCACACATTGCTCTCATGTGGGGAATTGAACCCGGGTATTCGTCATGAAGATCAAACGCTTTAACCACTAGGCTACCCCACATTAATAAACAAGGCACAGGGATGTCCCCAACAGCTCCGACCACGGTTCAAAAACGGATCTGATTTATGAGAACTACCATAGTTCGACATCATAGCAACTACAAAGCAGAGTTTCAACTTCATAGTTTTGTAGGTGTCTAAACCCGGACGGGCGGACAAAGATAGGACGCTCCATATATGGAACACCAACTTTTAGTCAGGTGTGCTAAAACCTGCTTCTGTTCATGTCCGCGTGCATTACCTTTGACTCCGCGACATCTACACATCATGGTTGAATTATCACATCCGCTATCCCTTGTATATGTACATCCAAACTATATACGGTCAGCGCTCTCATCTCTCATGTTGCACGGCTCCATTTTGTCAAACTCCATGGCGTCTTTGTACTCTCGCGACACTGGCAAGGGTGTAATGTTTGACGCTCTCGTGTTCACGTTTGCTCTGTTACTTTGGTTACCGGAATATCGTGTTGGAAACGCAGTTTCTGTATGGCAATCCTGAACGAAATACTTCCACTGTATAAAAGTGGGTGTACTTTAAGTATTTATTAAATTTAATCCAATCAGCTTGAACTCTTTTGACTGGGTCGACAAACGCATGATTTCCACGGGCAAGTTTGGCGTCGCGGTGGGCGCATTGCAAACAGTCGCATGAAAGCGAATAATCCGTGTAGACTGGTACCCTACCCTTCGCCGGCGAGGAGCGCAAGTGCTCCAGGGTAGACAAACCAGTCTATTTATCCGTGATGTAATTAGCCACCCGAAAGCGTAATGTCTAAACAGGGATAATCTACGTCTTCTATTCTCTCTGGTTTAAATGCTCGTGATTGCTACCGCCTCACGACAAATGGGAATCAGACACTTCGAGTTACCTACCCTGATTGTTGTGACAAGAGACGCGTGTTTCGTGTTGGCAGTTTCCTTGTTTCCGATCATGTAGTCCCACTCAGTAAACAGTTTCCACGAGAAAGTGAAATGTTCGTCTTTGGTCGACATTCGACTTTGGCGGGAGTTGGATGCCATCCTGCAAAACATAACATATATAACAGGTAAATTCAACGTTGAATGCCAATTTGTTGTCAATGTTGGATCTTCCACTCTACAGAAATGACCACTGTAGTCAATAACTGCAGTTGCTGGTCCAGCTTGAATATAAGTAGACAAAACAGGCGTAAAGTAAATGCTGCTTCTAAATCTCATATAGGGGATTCGCCATTGATCTTTTGATGTCTAAACATCAACTTTCGAGGCAAGCTTCTACTTGAAAATGAAAATGCTTTCATGGGAGCTTCCAGTTTATCTTTCGAACCAGTAATTATAAACTTATGAAAACTATCGTTACGATTTAAAAGACTCACGTTTTCAGCACAAAGATGAAGCTGAGGGCAAACGACATGAAACATGTCAAGAGGTAAGCCAGCGGCAGACGATATCCGCTTCCAATTGTATCAGTGTTACCATAGTAACCATAAAACACGACCGAATACTTGAGTATGCCCTGAAAAAAAAGTGACAGTATTAATTTATGTTCCCCAACTCACTAAGGAAAACTTTCTTTGAAAAATGTTAAGTTACCGTGAGAATTTAGGTTCAGTTCACAGCCAATAATATTTCCTCAAAATCACGGCGGCGTCTTAGCAACCGAATAGTGGTTGATAAATGTGAGTATGGCCCCACATCGTGTTGGTACGAGATACCGTATGGTGCTCTAGAGATTTCCGCTGCCTTAAAGTACAAACGCGAGAGACCAGTTAACGAACAGGCTTCCACAGGCAAACTGGAGGCACGATATGACAACCTGCCATTTAATTGAACCCTGGGACAGGTGTATACGACAGGTGACAGTCACCTAAGCTTCCTCCAAAAGTGACATCACTACGTCTCACTTCATTAACGTAGCACAGTGTTCTGGCAACAGTCAATCAAAATTACTTTAGAAAGAGTTTGTCATGGCTCTTTATATCAAAATTCAGTTTCATATGCGCTAGTCCTGGATATAGTTAGCCTAATAAAAATCAATATTCATAAATGAACCAATGGCTGGAAAAGATGTTTTCCTGACAATCCATCAAAGAGGAGGAAGTTTGTATTGAGACAATACAAACAGGGCTGGTTATGGAATCCTGGAAGGGACATTGTCGCGTTGTCGCATTGTCGCGTTGTCGCCCTCTCAAATACAAGCAAAATGAGGCAAAATTAACCAAAACGCGACACGCGACACGCGACACGCGACACGCGACATCGCGACAAATGAGCGAAATGTCGCGTTGTCGCGATGTCGCGTGTCGCGTTTTGGTTTATTTTGCCTCATTTTATTTGTTTTTGAGAGGGCGACAATGCAACAACGCGACAATGTCCCTTCTAGGATTCCATAGCTGGTCGATTGCCTCTACCACGTGGTTTGAGTTTACGGCTATTTTAAGCGTCCTGTAATTCTAACCAATCTCAAAGGGAGGCTCTGCTGGTGAACGGCTTCACGGTATGTATGAATGGAAATCATAAAATACAGAGGGCCAACTTATGGTGGCTGATTAGGGCCGTCTCGTGTTATCGCTTTCTCGTCTCGTGATATCGCTTTCTCGCTTTCTCGCCTCCGAATTTTAAGGCGAGAAAGCGATGGCCCTAATCAGCCACCATACCAACTAGGTAGCGTTGCGATATGATGTAAGGCAGAATCACAGGAGAAATAGCATCGGTGATCAAGATTTGTCAAGGACGGCTCTCGTGGTTGGTTGTTGGTTGGTTTGTTGTTTTACGCCGCACTCAGCAATATTCCAGCTATATGGCGGCGGTCTGTAAATAATCGAGTCTGGACCAGACAATCAAGTGATCAACAGCATGACCATCGATCTACACAATTAGGCTACAATGACATGTGTCAACCAAGTCAGCGAGCCTGACCACCCGATCCCGTTAATCGCCCCCCTAGGTTGGTATCTTCACGGGCAGACAGCTCTTGTGGAAACGAAAGCCCAAGATACCCACTTGTTAAAGGTAACTTACCTCAGCGTCCCAGATTGTCTTGAGATCGGCTGATTTGGCCTCCTCCTCTGCCGGCACCGTCTTCCTCGTCATGTTACCGTGGGGGACGCCCACGATAAGCTGGGGGAGAAGGTCACATGTACAGTGTACAGTCGGAGGTGAGACAAGGAGTGAGTATGGATTTACGCCGCTTTTCGCAATATTCCAGCAATATCACGGCGGGGTGGGGGTTGGGGGTGTTCACACATTGTACACATGTGGGGAATCGAACCTGGGTCTTTGGCGTGACGAGCGGACGCTTTAACCACTAAGCTACCCCACCGCCCCTGAGAGAAGGAAATTAACGCCACTATGAATAATATTTCAGTACTAGTTTCAACCCAAACCAGTTAGGCAAAATGGTAAAAACACAACCATGACATTTTCTATGAAGGCCTCTTTTCGGCCACTAGATAATCAATTAGAAATCACAGTGTAAGTTATCACTCGTGATCATATGAATGAGACTCAGTGTGTCTTCATTTGAACAAGTTGCATATTGTTTACTTTTAACAAGTGACGAACACTTAATGTTCTTTAGTTTTAACATGAGCAGGTGTTTGACCCAAGCTGATATTTTTACAGGACATAATAACAGTAAAACGCATATTAAAAATCCATCGGGGTTTATTTGTTTCTTGAAGGTAGAAAAAAAGTTCTTTGTTACTGAAATTAATCCATGTTTTCCATCATGTCAAGTAACGAAACTTCTAATAAAATGGTAGAATGGTTGTCCGATATTTCGACATGTCTGATCAATATGTCATATACATGAAATTTTACTAAAAAATTGATTTTTTAGTGGCCCAAAAGGCGCCTTCGTTATATTGTCCCTTCGGGTCGGGATTGCCTTAGACTACTTCACGAGGTAAACTCTAAGAATCTCGAAGAATCTATGTTGTACATTACACACAATATCAACCTGTCCCATCTGCAATATTCCTTTCATAAGGTTTATTTCTCATGAAGAAATAGTCCAATATGATAAATATGATCCCAATGTCATGTTTTGTCATATGACGAGGGGGTCTAATGTGGGAATGCATTATACCTAAAGATAATCATTGACCGCATATTCCGAACACTGCTTAATCCCTCGAACAACGCTAGGGGCTGTCGGATAGCCTCGTGGCTAAAGCGTCTGCTCGTCACGCCGAAGACCCGGGTTCGATTCCCCTCATGTCCACAATGTGTGAAGCTCATTTCTGGTGTCCCCACCGTATTGCTGGAATATTGATAAAAGCGGCGTAAAACCATAATCACCCACTCACTCACTCAAACAACGCTATGTTATGGCGTCATCTTAAGGTCACTGGATTTTTAGTTAGTCCTACCAGGTAGTCCTACAATTGGTGTTGTGTCCAAAAAGTAAATGCCAATGTGACTTGTTTAAGTCACGTGTTACCTGAGGTCTGCCACCTTCTGGCATGGTTCGATGACTTTCTTTAAAAATCTGAGATGGCGCAGGTATTAAACGTTTACTGGAGGATTAAACACGATCATAGTGACGAGGCTTACAGAATAAGAATCAGATTGGGTGACATTTTCGGACAAGCTGCTTCCAGTGGCCGAGGTAGCAAACTAGTAAGGGACTTAAGCCAGCTAGGTCACATGTGTTAGACAGCACATAAATTGATGACGTGTACCTCTGGAATGATGACGAAGCAGAGCGGCAAGAAGGTGAGCCATATATTAATCCAGATCAGCCATCGCAGGAACACGAAGTAGGAGGCCACCACTGACCCGAAGTGACCTTCAACATAGCATGGCATTTGTACTTAATATTGTCAGTGATGCTGGAACTACCACTACTGCTACTACTACTCGGGTGGTCAGGCTTGCTGACTTGGTTGACAAATGTCATCGTATCCCAAATGCGTAGATAGATAATCATACTGTTGATCATTGGGTTGTCTGGTCTAGACTCGATTATTTACAGACCGCCACCATATACCTTGAATACTGCTGAGTGCGGCGTTAAACAACAACCAACCAACCAACAAACCAGCTACTACTCCTACTAAAAGTCCACACGAAATCTACCCATTTCTACATGTAATCTTCTAAAACTAAATATACTCTCCAAAAAAAGAAACGCATAATGAAAATAGCAATTTCATGTAGCAATGAATTAAAACGTGATTCATTTTACACAAAAGTTTTTGCTCTGTTTATGAGTCCTATGGTGTTTATGTTTTGAAACATCACAACAAAACGCACCATCCGTAAAATACCCGTATTTAACAGCATGATTTTCAATTTCGGCGTGTAGTGTCACAGAATACACAGTTCACATGCAATGCACATGAAAGTTGGGGATCAGATAGTCTCAATGATGGGTACAAAAGGTTGATCGCTGTCTGTCGATTATTCACTGTATGTGGAATATTGTTGACGAACGCAAAATACCACGTCTAAGTGAAGCCAACCGTCATATCGCCACTGGTTTGCTTGAAGCTGGCCAGTCTCAACGTGCAGTTGCCCGACGCATGAATGTTCACCAAAGCACCATTTCACGGCTCTGGGAGAGATATCGCCGGCAGAATGCGGTAGCAGATGCCCCTCGTAGTGGGCGACCTCGAGCGACCACTACGGCGCAGGATCGCTACATCCAGGTACACCACCTGCGTCATCGACCAGTACTACGGCGACCAGTACTGCTCAACAAATACCCGGATTGAGGAGGCTTTCTGCACAGACCGTCAGGAACAGGTTGAGAGAGGCTGGTTTACGGACCTCACAAATATAAACATCGCGAGAGTTACCTTTCTTGAATGGCATTCGTGCGGATAACAGGAAAAATAATCGAAAATAAACGAGAAAATGATAGGAACTGGACTCCCAAAGCTGTGGTAAAGAGTAGATGGGTTAAAACTTGAAACAGGTAAAGTCCCTTGAGCGCTAAGTGGAGGATATTGATTCCTGGAGATATGTGCTATAATGTCAGCTTGTCACGACAATGACGTCACACCAGGGACAATGGTTTTGGCACCGTTATGGAATGGTAACTGCATCTGTCAAGTTGTTGATTGTGATTTGTGACGGTTTGTGTGAGGAATTGACCATATTTGGATTTGATAATCTGAATCTACGTCGTCATCTCAGGAGATAATTGAAAATGGTAGTTCATTAACGTCTTTTTATGAGACTGTCGGATATACGTTTTCAGTGCCTGGAATGAGCAATTTAGCAGGAATTAAACCATCCCCCGGGTTGATACGGAAAGGGTACGGTAGAACCACTGCCCGAGTGTTTACTCTGAGCCGAGACTGGCGTAGAGTTATCACCTGTTATTGCACGTCGGGTAGCAATATTGGGTTAATGTTAGAATAACGACAGTTAACAAAATGAAAATTGGTGAATATTGCTCCATACATCCTTCATGCTTTAATAACATGCAAACCGAAGTGCAAGGAAGAGAATGTCGATGGGACTCAGACCGGAATTGACTCTCATGCTTTAGGTCTCATGAGTACTGCTCAAGTGTTCGATAAATACACGAATCACAACCAAACTATTATGTCACATTATTCCAGCACGTCTACTGAAGAACGCGTTTCCACGGCGATTTCCAAAGAATTAGTTTAACTATTCAGCTGTATTATTGGCTATTACACATGCATGCCAATGATTCGAAGTATATAAGATAAAAATATTAACAAAACAGTTCTCAGAAGTGATGGCAATCGACGCGTATTATATTATATACAGTAATATTATTATATATGCACAGACCTTTGAATGTCACCTGGTCGTTAGGTATAAATTATCAAGCACACATTTCAATAAAACGTACTATTGCTATTTACATTTGACCTTGACCTCGAACCCACCTTTCACCAAGGGAAGGAACTCCATATGATGAGCGCCTCCTGGAATTCCGACGTTTGCTCTTGCGCCGATTGACTTGACGCGCATTACCCCCATGGCCCCCTCCTCCTGATTCCTCCAGAAACTGACCCATTGGGATGTAAGTTCGTATCTCCAAAGCGGTCAGTTCAAGATGTGAATATTTGTCTCCAGAATGGTAAATCCAAGAAAATAGTATCCCATCACATTGTGATCCTTGAGATGCTTTTATGATTTACACAGTAATCCAATTCTCATTTGAGACATCATTCTGGGAACTTATTTGCCGAGTCAGGTTTTCTAATTGCAGAAATGTGTGAAGTTTCAAACATTCGCATGGCTCGGTATCCGGATTACAACATCTCACATAAATAGAACGTTGTGAATCCAGACAGGCACGACAAACGATAATAGGAACGTTCACCTCTGAAAATCGACTCCAAACCTCTTCGTTCCACAACAGTACAGGTTCCAATTATTTCAGAAATGTAAAACCAATAAAGAGTTTCCTTTGCCTTTACACGTTTCATCAGCCGCCACCCCAGCACATGAACGCGGCTCGTCAATCAGCCTGTGTTGTTTATGACACAGTAAAACTTCTCTGACAAAGAAACAACAAAGATCGTCGCTCCGTTCGTCATCGTCAACCAGCACAAGTCTTTGTTCGCTGACCTAACTCTCATGACCTGCCCATAATTCAGTGTCGTTTATCATGCAAAATCGTCATTTCAATCCATAAATTTGGCATCAGCATTCAATACAGTCCCAGATGGTGTAAAGAATCTTTCCCTCGAGGAATCTCAGACCAGACCACTCTTTTACGATGACTCCGAGAATATTCAAACCAATAACAGCACCACCATCGAGTTTTTCTCAATAAAATCTTCACCCAATTACTGAATACTTCTGAAGGTTCTTGACACCTTGTGAATATTAATAGATTGTTGATATGTGTAGGATGCAAGCTATCCTCTAATGACGAACATTTTCAAGCAGTATTACTCATGTGACAGATAGCATAAATCTTCACGATTCCCATCATGTTCGAGTAATGGACTAATGGACAAGCCACCACCAATTACGACTTTGTCTGGTCTGCTCGCAAATGACTCCACCAGTGCAGTCAGAGGTTGATGACAAAAGTGTTTCCTATCTCCTTCATCATACGTATGTTTCTCAAGAGACTGAAAAGAAGGAAATTCACATGTGTATGCACTAGGTTATAGAAATGACGTTTTGTGTAAAAGCTTCAACACCAGAGAATAACCAGTCCCAATTATCTGACGAACTGTGTATAATATACTCTCAAAAAAGAAACGCATATAGGAATTTCAACTGTATTTTTAAATTTATTTTGAAACATCTTGTAGGCTTTATGAGTCAATGAAATATAGCGAAATTGCACACTGGGAATGCAGACTTATCCGTCTTTGGCACCAACTCGAGGAAAGTCAGTTTGAGTGTCACATGGAGACGTGTGGTGGCGCTGAAGTCAATACCTCGTGTGACCACCGTGGGCATCCAACTGCACGGCATCGCCTCGGCATCGAACGAATAGGTCTCAGAATTTCGTGTTGCCCAATCGCAGCCCACTCTGCCTGTAGTGCCTGTGCGAGTTGCTGAAGTGTCTGGGGCTGAGGGTTACGGCGTCGCACCCGTCTGTCCAGGGCATCCAACAGATGTTCGATCGGGTTTAAGTCCGGTGATCTTGAAGGCCAGGGGAGCACATTGATGTTGTGGTTCTGGAGGAAGTCTCTAGTGTGACGTGCTGTGTGGGGGCCTGGCATTGTCCTGTTGAAACAACTCCCTCTGGCGATCAATGATTGGAAGAGGTGTGGGCGTAGGATTTCGTCACAGTACCGATGAGCTGTCAGGTTGCCCTGGATCATCACCAAATCACTTCTCCTACGGCAGGTGATCACTCCCCACATCATAACACCGCCCCGACCGAATCTGTCCACCTGTCCACCGCACGTCGACGTCTGTACACCCGCATTCTTCCATCGTGTCGTTCCAATAGAAATCGTGATTCATCACTGAACCAGATTCTACGCCAATTCGGTAGGTTCCTGGCCTGAACGTTGGTGCACCATTGAACTCGATGTCGAGGATGTTGTTGTCGAAGCACAGGGCCAAAATCAGGTCTTCTTTCACGTAAACTAGCCTCTCTCAACCTGTTCCTGACGGTCTGTGCAGAAAGCCTCCTCAATCCGGGTATTTGTTGAGCAGTACTGGTCGCCGTAGCTGTTCGATGACGCAGGTGATGTACCCGGATGTAGCGATCCTGCGCCGCAGTGGTCGCTCGAGGTCGCCCACTACGAGGGGCATCTGCTACCGAATTCTGCCGGCGAGATCTCTCCCAGAGCCGTGAAATCGTGCTTTGGTGAACATTCATGCGTCGGGCAACTGCACGTTGAGACTGGCCAGCTTCAAGCAAACCAATGGCGATATGACGGTTGGCTTCACTTAGACGTGGCATTTTGCGTCCGTCAACAATATTCCAAATACAGTGAATAATCTACAGACAGCGATCAACCTTTTATACCCATCATTCAGACTATCTGATCCCCAACTTTCACGTGCATTGCATGTGAATTCTGTATTCTGTGACACTACACGCCGAAATTGAAAATCAGATGGTGCGTTTTGTTGTGATGTTTCGAAACATAAACACCATAGGACTCATAAACAGAGCAAAACTTTTTGTAAAATGAATCACGTTTAATTCATTGCTACATGAAATTGCTATTTTCATGATGCGTTTCTTTTTTGGGAGAGTAAATTTAGACCGTAAAACCGCACATTTAAAAAACAACGATATATTAGTAATTGTTACTCCATGTTTGTAACAAGTATTTCTCATCAAACACGATCGTGCTCAAAATGTCCAGTTAAACTTACTAGAGTTTCAGCTAAAGGAAGA